ATATCATTTGATACAATATCGAAAATTATAATATACGTTAATTTGAATAGATAAATAATTATTTAATTTTAAAATATTATATATATATATATATATTAAAATTATTAAATTTTTAATGAGAGAGACTAAAATCGCACTATTATGATATTCGAGGGACTAAAATTGTTCAATTAAGAATTGAAGGACCAAAATTGCACAATTGCAATTCTTTAGGGATTAAAATTACCCGATTAAAATCTTGGGGATCAAAACTGTACAATTTCAATATTTGAGGGATCAAAAATGTAATTAAGCCTAAAACCAACTATTTCTTTTAAAATAAACCAAATTAAACACTCACTTAATGATGAAGACTTTTTTTTTTCTTTTTTACGTGTGGCGAGCATATAACACATGTTTATAGGATCACATGCAATTTTTATATCACTGTGATTAACTGTCTTTAATTTTTTATGAACTCTCCTTAACTCTTTTATAGGAATGGTAAAAAAGTTCTTTTAAGATCGGTTATTTTATAACCGATCTTAAAAGTGTCACTTTTAAGATCGGTTCTTGTATAACCGATCTTAAAAGTGTTTTTAAAATCGGTTATATTATAACCGATCTTAAAAGTGTCACTTTCAAGATCGGTTCTTTTATAACCGATCTTAAAAGTACTTTTAAGATCGGTTAAATTTCAACCGATCTTAAAAGTGTTTATGTTATTTACAAAATTGTCACCGCGTCACTTTTAAAATCGGTTACCTTATAATCGATCTTAAAACTCCGATTTTAAATCCAATTTTTGCACTAGTGGAATGAGATATATTATCATTTCTTTATGTTTGTATTGTTTGTTGCTTTTGTTTGGGTTGATTACCATGCAAGAGTAGAGCAGGTATATATAAGGTAAAGCATGAGGAAGAGTAAAATTAGTGTTTTAGTTGGTGTTTAGGGTCTTACTTTGATAGTATTACATCAAGACTAGATGATTTTATTATGCTTTCTTAGTTATAGACGGAGTTCAATTTATGTTATGATGTTTTATGGATTTTAAAAATTTTGTAAAAGATCAATTTGTGCCTTGTTTTAAGAACTTATAATTACGTTTTTTTACATATTTGCTAAAGAGTTTTTATTAACAACACGTGAACCCTTTTATGATGCATATTAAGTTAGTTGTTTGTACTATCTTTTGAATTAAACTTGTTTTTCTTAATAATCTTTTATAAAAATATTTTAGGGTAGAAGAGTGTCATTGATTGCTTCTTGAAAACAAGAAATCGAAGGAGAAAGGGAAGAACTACGAAACCCTCCAAGGTAAACTTCTCTCTAGCAATTCAAGCTCCTCAAGCTCAAATTTCAACTTCTACAACTTCAACTTAACTTTAGGGGAAGATAATAAGGTCACTCTTGGAGAAACCAAAAGAAGAAATAATTTTCTTTTGCTTCAAAGGTCCTATCTACAAGACTTCTCTATAGAAAATGAGAAATTAATTTATGAAATTCTTTTTTTTTGAAAACTTCATATATCTTCCTCCATTATTGCTCAATCTTGACATTAGCTTAAAAAACTCTAAGGATGTGCTTGATACACATAAAGGTACATAACAAAAAGAATAACATAAGACAAATGTGCATGCTATCGGACAATTTTCCATTCTAAATATTGTTTGGTGAATAATGGATAACCCAAACAATAATATATTTTCAATATTAATTATCATAATGAATTATTATTATCATCTTAATGGGAGAGATGGTGACAAGAATATAACCACAATAACAATTGTGGTAGTGGTGATAGTAGTGGTAGTGACAACAACGATGGTAATCGAGACATAGTAGTGGCGGTGGTGTGGGTTGTGCCTATGACAATGGGTTGTGCAACAGTGGTGATGGTGTTAGGTAGCAATGGGTAGGGGTTAGAGTAGTATTAGTACAATAACTTAGTAGTGAGTGTTTTTGTACTTGAGACAAAAATGTTGTCCCATGGCTTATTGAATAACAAACTGTATGATTTTTGTCTTGTCCTTCTTCTATTTTGTCTTGTTCCATGACCCTTTTATAAATTAAATACCAAATAATTATTTTTGTCCTATCTTGTATCATAAATTTTAGCAAAACAAACATTCCTAAAATATTTAATTCTAAATGATTCCTTAACCTTTATAGCTCTATAAAACAACTACAAAAATTCAACATAACAACTTAAAGCACCATAAGTCATTAAAATCATACAAGCATGCACAAAAGTAAAAATCTATAGTGTTAAGGGTTATTGTTATAATTGATTATATTCGGAATGAATTTTATTTGTATAAATTGACTAAAAAACGATTTTGAAATGTTTAATTTTGTTTAGATACAACCAAAAAATCAATTTTTATATAGTAAATAAGTTTTAGAAGATAAAAAAAAAACTATTGAAAACTACTCATAAGCTTGAAGTATTCAAATTCATTAAAACAACTAATGTTAAAAAAAAACTTTTATAAATTTAATATATTTTTTCAGACATTGACTTTTTTTTATGAAAAAAAAACTTTTTTTTTCTAAATAAAAGCCGGTAAAATTATGGGAAATTTGTGTTTCCAAACATAAACCAAAATTGATAATTAATATATTATATTATTATTGTTACTATTATTTATCATATAATTCATAATGAATATTTTACTAACCTGATTTGTTCATGAAAACAAGTTAGTAAGTAATAAATAATATTTTGATTTAATTTAAATTATATTCTATTCATATTAGAATACTCTCACAAGTTAAAATACTAGTAAAAATAAAAATTAAAAAATTATATATTTTAATAGCAATACTCTCACAAGACATGGTTTGGGCCGAGCCCACGGTACAGCCTTTTATATTTAGAACTTGAACCTATCCCCAATTATATTTACTTCTGACATATACTTTCGCAAGGAATGTTAGGTTAGCAGAGTAACGGGTGAATAAAATTTTATCTTATGCTATCAATTTAATATTTACTTTTTATTTTCAGTTTCTATTAAGTATGCTTTTTCTTACGTCACATTTTTTTTTCTTCTCTATTTCTATTCTTTAAACATTAGTTTTAAAATAGGTTTTTGAAAATTATTTATAAATGAATTTTAAAAACTTAAAAATAAAAATATATAATCAAACACAATTTAATTTTTTTTCCATTCTAATTTATTTTGTCGTACTAAAAAACAAAAATACTATCAAATACACCGCAAAGCTTAATTTTAAGTGGATTTAATGAAATGAATCAAAATCAAAAATTAGTTTTATAATGAATTAAATTAAGGTAAATTTTTAAATGTTATGATATTTTTCCTCTTCCTTTATTCTTGATGGGAAAACAATAAAGTTACCTGCACAATAGCATTAAATAGTATATTTTATATAATATGATATAAAATCAATTTAATTAATAAAATTAAATGCTATATATATATATATATATATATATA